TACTCTAGGTGAGGGCTCACCAGAGCAGAAGGGCAGAATCACCTCCCTCGAACTGCTGGCCACGCTTCTCCTGCTGCAGCCCAGAGTATGGTTGGCCTTCTGGGCTGCCAGCGCACATTGCCGGCTCATGTCCAGCTTTTCATCCACCAGCACCCCCAAGTCCCTCTCAGCAGGGCTGCTCTCGATCCTTTCTTCCCCCAGCCTGTACTGATACCGGGGGTTACCCCGACCCAGGTGCAGGACCTTGCACTTGGCCTTGTTGAACCTCATGAGGTTCACACAGGCCCACCTCTCCAGCCTGTCCAGGTCTCTCTGGATGACATCCCGTCCTTCTGGTGCGTCAAAACAGAGATGACGAATCATCGATCTTTCTTTCTTCATTGTTTTATTATCCTCAGTATTCCACTACCACTATTTTCCTAACTGGCAAAAAAATCTAGAAGTCAAAGTTTGTTTTCTTAACTCTGTTCTGATTCTTGTACATGGTTTCCCAGACAACAAGCAGATAGATATTTTACTACTACTTTTAATAGTAAACATTTTCAATGTATTCCTTATCAAAATTACAGTGAAGTAGAAGTCAGATTTTAAATAATCACTCGCATTACCATTTGCATTGTCACCTACATTAACTTACCTTAAAGGTCTATAAGACAATATTTCTCAAGATTTCCAATTGATCTATTGTTCTGGGATAAAAAAGACACCATGAAATCAGCTGGCTGCCTGAAAGAGAGAAATGATAGTGATTCCAACCTTCACTATAAACAATGGTGTTTTCCTGTGTGTAGGTAAGAAGTGCTTCATGTCCATTTGTCTTCTACATTTCTCACATTTATTCAATCTGTGCCAAAATATATAGGGCCAGAATTCATAAAACCCAAAAAGCCATTGTTTCAGCTGTTGTTTTCCCTCTAGCCTTGGACAAAAGAAGAAGATCAGGCAGAGTCTTTCAACGGCCTTTGGTATTTATGGCCGTAATACTTTGTTGACTTCTCTGTGACCTATAGTTAGGCCAAAGAAATAGTCTTTATGCTTTTGCTCTCTTTCCATTCTCAGAGATATGCAAGAGAAGGACATGGGTTAACCTCCCAGTTAACCCCAGATCTCCCTAACACACCGGTGCCTAGCATGCTGGTCTCCAGTGCCTGCTGCTAAGTGCTCATGTGAATAAATATAAAAAACCCCACTTAGGATGATGAACAAGCAGAAGACAGATGACGGCTGCTTTATACTGTAAACCAACTTTGACCAGAATGCCACCGTGGTAACCATTTGACAGGCATGCCGGGTGTAGACTTAAACTTCCAAGGTGCTTAACTGTGTGCCACAAAAGCACTTCCTACTGAACCTCTACAGAAACTATTCCATTTGCCAGTGATCTCACAGCTTTTTATATTTTGTAATAAAGATTTGGATTAGTCCTACCTCGTAACGTGATTCTCTATGTTCATTTTTGGACTTAAGGCCCAGATACTTAAAAGAAGTCAAGTGGTAAACCCACGATATTTACTTACAAATTTAAACACAAGTGTGAATGCAATAGCTGTAATGCTCACTGTAAACCTGATTTATAAACGAAGTGCTTTTCATACCTTCTGCTGCCACCAGTATTTTCTGCTGGACACATAGGACTACATGAGTTGTTAAGCACAACGTATAACAAAAGTTACTAGAATTTAATAACCTGCTGCTTTATGAAGGATGTTCATCAAGTCACAAAAAATACTGAAGTAGAAACCGTGGCTGGTATAACCTAATGCTCTACCTTCTTTCAATCATGCTATTAATTTGAATATGATTGTGTCTAATCCTTATAATGACAGACATGGTTTGTGAAGATGAGCTGGCGCTGAATTTCAAAACAGAGAGAGAATCTCTCATTGGATTTTCTTCTTAAATGTACAAAATCATACTCAAATAGAAGGCTTTTAAAGTAGATCGTGCATATTAATCGAAGGCTTTGGTCTTGAAAAAAATTAAATAGCGTAGCAGAAACACAATAATAGTAATGAATGACATGTAATATGTTTCATGTATAAAAAATTATGAAGGGGTAGTTCTCCTTCAAATATTTCATGCACAAGATTATTGAAACTAAATGTTATTCATATCATTTTTACAAGAGTTACATACAAGGTGTTTATGCTGATCAGAGAATCATCTCCATAATCACCCTCTCATCCCCAAACACCTCCAGATGCCCAAACAAATGCAAATAGTATAGTTTCCCTGGTAATGACTGCAACATATCAGAACACTTTTCCAGAAATTATTTTTTTTTCCCCTGAAATAAATGAAACACAGTAAAAAAAGATCAATAATTTAAGCAGATTATTCTAATCTTAAAATATGTTACTGCCATAAACTAACATATAACTTTTCAATACATTTCACATACTTTTGTAAACATACACACTACCACTTTTGGTAGTGCTTGCTTGCTAGAAGCCAAATGGAGCGTGAAATGTTAAATCATTGTTAAGAGTAAGAGGGTAAATAATTTTGCAGTACAGCTACTAAAATTCAAAATGCATGAAATACGAAAAATAGAGGCCTAGATTTATACTGCTTTCTGAATAACTGTTCCACATTTTCAGGTGGGGAAAAAAAGCATAAATTACCCTGCTAGCACTCTCCTATAGGTGCCCAGGCAGCACACGGTCTTAAGCTGTTTGAGGCTGAGGTATTTTCTGGTTGGTTGTAAAAGACATTGTATAGCAATTGAACAGAAAATTAAAAAAAGAAAGAAAAAGCCCACTTACGTGCCAATTTGGGATCTGCTGGATTCCTTCGGAAATGATTTTTCTGAGAATTTGCACTATGGAATATGTAATATCCAATACCTGAAAACAAACTTTATGTTGCATTTCCAGTATTTTCCAGTTTTCTTTCCTTCAACAAGAGCACTCACGTGTTCTCTGCCACTCCTATTACATCAGTCTCTTCCCCAGAGATGTAACTGATACTCTCCTGTTCTCGGAGCTTTAACAAGATAGCAATGCTATTGGAAACTGTGTTCCATATGTTCTTATACATTACTGACTAACTTTTAAGATTCTGGAGAAGCTTTATTTTCAGATTTACTTTTCCATTTATATTGGACTTATATGATTGTTACGGATGTCTAGTACTCTTCCCTTCTGACAACTTCATCTCTCCCCTGAACTTAGTTAGCTGAACAGTAAACTTATTTGACCTCAAATTGTATCTTGCATTTCATTTCTCCTTCACTATTGTATTGCCCTTTTCTAGGGATTTCTGAGAAAGCTAAGTTAGGATGCAGCATAAAATTAAGAGTAAATACAATGTTCATACCTCCAAGATTATGCAAGAGCTCTCATTCATTTCTGTACTGTCAAGTTCACCATTGTACCTTCTGGTGTTATTCTCACTTGGTTTCTGGTTATAAGAAAAAACCTAGGTTTAGCTTCCTGAAAAAAACAGCTGCACTAGGTATATAATGAATAATTATATATATAAATTATAATTACTATGAACATGGCAGAGAAACATATTGCCCCATATTTAAGGATATTAATTGTAGGCCTCTGTTGCCAACAGAATGAAGCAGGCTCATTCCAAGCATTAGTTGCTGCAATTAAGACATCTACTGAAAACTGTTCTTAACATTGCAATTCTGAACTGTGCAACAGTAATAAAGCAAAAACTCACCGTGCACGACGACTCATTAACTTTTTCCTTTTTCACAACCTGTTTTTCTTCTGCCTGTTGAAACTTATTGCTTAGCCTTCCTGATTTCAAAAGCTGCCAGTTAACTTGAATGGCCTTTCTGGCAAAGTTACCTCAACAGGACAGCGGTAACCACACACCGCTGCTCTTTTGCCCTTCTCTATTTTTCTCTCGGAGAGAGAGGGGGTTGGTTTTACCGCGTTTCGGCCTGCTGGGTGCCCGGCTGCCGGGAGCACGGGCGGTTGTTCGGTGCAGGAGCACTCGCGGGCTGAGGCGGCGTTTGAGGCGGCGAGGCCCCGAGGGCTCCGTGTACAAAACCCCGGGTTTGTTTACCGCCCGGCCGCGGGGCCC